TTAGAGAGGTGTTTAAAAAATTCTTAGACCCGAGGCTGAAAATCATTAGTTACGTAATTCTCCATGTTTGACTCTGGAAAATACAACAGTGTTAAACTTGAGGTGCTGTGGGTCCAGGGAAGGAGTGTGACAGCTCTGCTTTGGCTGGCTATGGGACTTGGGGACAGACACTTAATTTTTCATAACTTTGGTTCCATCACAGGATTCCTTTGGAAAATTAGTCTAACTGAGGTTGTTTTGAAAAGTATTGTGTTATATAAACTTTTAAGTATTGTAAATAAAACTATTAACTGGTATAATTTTTGATATATTTAGTTATAATTTGCATTTTTCTCCTTTCCTGTTCTATACAATTTTTTTTACATTCTCCCAATTGTTCTTTCCTTAGGGCATTTCATTAGAAGAGTTTGATAGATTATCTTTCAATATGATTTTAATGAGCCCTCCCTGTCAACCATTCACAAGGTATGTATAATAAATATTTCTCTGTTGAGAAAGAGTACTTTTGAAGAACTTATTAAATCAAATCATACCATAGTTTTGAGCATGGACACTTTGAAGTCTATTAGCTGTATTTTCATAGTTTTGATTTTTTTATAAATAATTCCTTTTATCTACTCATCCTATATAAGGCTAATATGCAAATTGTCCCCTCAATCGGGAGTTCGACTGGGAGTTCAACCAGGAGTTCAACCAGGGAGTGGGGCCAGCCCACCAACCACCGTGACCCCTCCCCCAGGCCAGCCCAGCCCAATTGACCCCGATCAGGGCAGGCTGGCCGGACCTCACCCATGTACGAATTTGTGTACCGGGCTTCTAGTTTATTTATAATTTAGTTTTAATTATGAAGGATATAGCAATTACTGCCAAATGAGCAAAGTAATTTGGTCAGTAGATATACAGTGACTATGACAGACCTCCTCTATACCTACCTGAGAAGATATAATCATGCACCACTTTACTATGGGGATACATTCTGAGAAAAGTGTAGTTAGGTGATTTTGTCATTGTGCAAACATCATAGGGTGCATCTACACAAACTTAGACAGTATAGCCTGCTACACAGCAAGGCTACATGGCATAGCCTATTGCTCCCAGGCTACAAACCTGTACAGCATGTTACAGTATAGAATTGAATACTGTAGGCAATTATAACACAATGGTAAGTATATATCTAAACATAGAAAAGGAACAGTAAAAATATGGTATAAAAGATTAAAAATGTTACACCTATATAGAGTATTTACCATGAATGGAACTTGAAAGACCGGAAGTTGCTCTGGGTGAGTCAGTAAGTAAATGTGAGTGAATGTGAAGACCTAGGACATTGCTATACACTACGGTAGGCTTTATACGCACTGTACACTTAGGCTACACTGAACTTATGAAACAACATGAGATTAAATCAAACAAGACAAAATGATGTAATCAAAGACATGGCAAAAATTATCTATATATATATAAAACCCTAATATGCAAATAGACCAAATGGTGGGACAATTGAACAACCGAACAAGTGGTCACTATGATGTGCGCTGACCACCAGGGGGCATGTGGGGAACATGGCAGGCATTTGCAGCAGGTGGCAGAACACAGAACATGGTGGGTATGGGCCGCGGTGGGATGGTGGAGCAGGTGAGCGGGGGTGCCAGACCAAGGCGGGGCACCGGTCGCTGTCATCAGGGTGAGCCTCTGGTGGTTACTAAAAATTCTTTGCTCCCGTGTGCCGCTGTCCTGCCCAGTGCTGCTGCTGGCACCAGCCCTGCTCGCACCTGCTGCCTGCACTGGAGCTACCGCTCACACCCAATGCTGGCCCCAATTGCTCAGCACTGTCAGTGGGTGTGAGTGGCGACTGCCAGCCTTGATTGCCTCTCAGGGCTTCTCCACTTCCCCTTGTTCCTGAGGGGCTATTGGGGCCTGCAGCCGCTTCTCATACCTGCTGCTGGCGACAGAGCCGCTGCTCGCACCCACTGCTGGCACTGGCCCAGCATGCACCCAAAGCTGGTGCCAGAGCTGCCGTTTGTACCCACTGCTGGTGCCCAGCCCCAGTCCCGATCGCTCGACACCATCAGCAGGTGTGAGTGATGGCTGCCAGTCACAATTGCCCCTGAGGACTTCTCTACCTCCCCCTACTCCTTAGAGGTGATCGGGGCAGCTGCCGGTCATGCCCACTGATGATGCTGGTCCTGCTCGCACCCACTTCTGGCACTGGCCCCAATTGCTCTGCGCCATCAGCAGGTGCGAGTGGAGCCAGTGCCATCAGCATGTGGGAGCAGTGGTGGTGGGAGTGGGACTGCCGGCAGAAAGGGGACTGGGGTCCGCGGCAGAAGGAGCTGAGAGAGGGCATGGAGGATGAGCCAAGACCCGCCCCTGTGCCCACCACAGCCTTGCAGCCCACAGTTTCTTTCAGGGTGCACAAATTCGTGCACTGGGCCCCTAGTATATATATGTCTGTTGCCAGTGTAACTTGGCATACTGTTTTACAGCAAACTTATTTTAGTAAGTAGAAAGAGTACATTCTAGAATAATGATAAAAAATATAGTAAATACATAAACCATTATGTAACCAACATAGTTGGTTATTATCATTATCAAGTATTATGTACTATACATAATTATATGTGCTGTACTTTCATAGGACTGGCAGCACAGTAGGTTTGTTTGTGTCAGTATCACCACAAATAGTGAGTAATGCATTGCACTGCATATGGTGTTATGATGGCTATAGTGTTTCTAGGTCAGTGATGGCAAACCTTTTGAGCTCGGCATGCCAGCATTTTGAAAAACCCTAACTTAACTCTGGTGCCATGTCACATATAGAAATTTTTTGATATTTGCAACCATAGTAAAACAAAGACTTATATTTTTGATATTTATTTTATATATTTAAATGCCATTTAACAAAGAAAAATCAACCAAAAAAATGAGTTCGCATGTCACCTCTGACACGCGTGTCATAGGTTCGCCATCTCTGTTCTAGGTGATAGTCTTATGCTGCTGGCAGCAGTAACTGACTCTGTAGTACTGTCATCAGTTAGAATGCTGAAAGGAAAGGGCAGAATGAGAGGAACCAAGGTTTCGGAGTAGTCTATTCAAGTCCACTCTAATTTCCCATGGAGCCTCAAGTTCACTGATGGTTTTGGCCCTGTTGTTAGGTATGAATGAGGAAACTGACACATGATATTAAGTTACTTATGTAAGACTATGAAGCTAGTAAGTAGCAAGGTCCTCTCTTTCTACACCTGAGGCCCAATCCAAGTCTTCCTTTCTGTTTGCTCATTTAAATCTTTTTCAAAAAAGTTTTTAATTACAATTGACATTCAATATTATTTTACACTAGAGGCCCAGTGCATGAAATTTGTGCACTAGGCGGGAGGGTTCCCTCAGCCCAGCCTATGCCCTCTGGCAGTCCGGGACCCCTTGGGGGATGTCCGCCTGCTGGTTTTCTTCTGACTACTTTTAAGATGTTCTTTGCATTTGTTTTTTTTGTTTGTTTTTTTTTGTAGTTTCCCTCTAATGCACCCAGGTATTAATTTCTTTCTCCTCCCTGGGGATCGCGCCTAAGCCAGCAGTCGCACATCCCTCTCACAGTCCAGGACTCCTCGCTCCTTACCGCCCTCCTGCTTACTGCTCCTTACCACATGGCTTGCTGCTCCTTAGCGCTGCCATGGATGCGGGAGAGGCTCCCACCACCATTGTGACGCTTGCCAGCCGTGAGCCCTGCTTCTGGCTGAGCGGCACTCCCCCTGTGGGAGCCCACTTACCACCAGGGGGCAGCTCCTGCATTGAGTGTCTGCCCCCTGGTGGTCAGTGTATATTATAGCGATCGGTGGTTCTGGCCATTCCACCATAATGGTCACTTAGGCTCATATTGTATAGACTAATGGTCTGGTGCATGAAATTTGTGCATGGGGGAGGGGGTGTTCCTCAGTCCGGCTTGCATCCTCTCCAATCTGGGACTCCTCGAAGAATGTCCTACTATTGGTTTACAGGGATCGGGCCTAAACCAGCAGTCGGACATCCCTCTCGCAATCTGGGACTGCTGGCTCCTAACCACTCACCTGCCTGCCTGCCTGCCTGATTGCCCCTAACCACTCTTCCTGCTCGCCCCCAACTGCCTCCCCTGCCAGTCTGCTCACCCCCAATTGCCCCCCCTGCTGGCCTGCTCACTCCAAACTGTTCCCCCCACTGTCCTGATCACCTCCAACTGACCCCCACTGATGGCCTGCTTGCCCCCAACTGGCCCCCATGCTGGTATGCTTACCCCCAACGGCCCCATTCCCCACCAGCCTGATCACCCACAACTGCCCTCCCCTCTTGGCCTCTAACCACCAATACCTCGGCCCCGCCATCGTGGCTTTGTCCAGAAGAATGTCCGGAAGGTCTCCTGGAAGGTCTCCCAGTCTAATTAGTATATTACCCTTTTATTAGTATAGCTAGAGGTCTGGTGCACGGGTGGGGGCCGGCTGGTTTGCCCTGAAGGGTGTCCCGGAACAGGGTGGGAGTTCCCTTGGGGTGTGGGGTGGCCTGGGCGAGGGGCCTGTGGTGCTTTGCAGGCCAGCCATGCCCCCATGAGGTGAGGGTACGTGCTGGGGGTGTGTGGCCAGCCTGGGTAAGGGGCTGAGGGCCATTTTCAAGCTGGCCATACCCCCTTCAGGGTGGGGGCCCGCTGGGGTGCCTGGCCAGCCTGGGTAAGGAGCTGATGGCTGTTTGCACGCTGGCCACACCCCCTTCAGGGTGGGGGGTCCTACTGGGTGCCTGGCCAGCCTGGGTGAGATGCTGATGGCTGTTTGCAGGCTGGCCAAGCTCCCCAGCAGGGACCCTCACCCCACGAGGGTATGGCCAGCCTGGGTGAGGGGCTGAGAGCTGTTTTCAGGCTGGCCACACCCTCTTCAGGGTGGGGGATCCCACTGTGGTGCCTGGCCAGCCTGGGTGAGGGGCTGATGGCTGTTTGCAGGATGGCCACGGTCCCTGGCAACCCAAGCTCCCAGCCCCTCCTTTTTTTCATTTTTTTTTTTTAGCGCCTCCTTGAGTGGAGGGAAGCAGGTATCTGGGATTTATTTATCTTCTATAATTGAAACTTTGTTGCCTTGAGCAGAGGCCAGGGCTGATGGGAAGCTTGGCTTCCTCCATTGCCGGGGGCAACCCAAACCTCCTGCTGGCAACTCCATGGCCGCCGCCGCCATCTTATTTGGGTTAATTTGCATACTCGCTCCTGATTGGCTGGTGGGCATGGCTTGTGGGGGTAGCAGAGTGATGCCAATTTGCATGTTTCTCTTTTATTAGTATAGATTAGTTTCAGTTGTATAGCATAATGGTTAGATAATTATATTAAATCTTATTTGTAAGAAATAACTGCTAGTCCAACTACTGCCTGTTTACATGATCTACTTTGATCTTATTAGTGCAACCAAGTTACAACTCCTGCTTGTAGAATCAAGCCTTCAGCTTAAGTTTTTCCTTTTTACATTGGACAAGATTGTCTTAGTCTTATCTACTACTCTGATCGGCTTAGATGATGTTAAGTCACCAATGCTTTCAGCTCATATAGCCTTCCTACCCAACCAGCTCATTCAATAGAACTTTTGTTGTCTCACCTGGACAGAGCAAATGGTGCCATCAGCAATTGTGTGTGTGTATCTTTCCCAATCCAAGCTATATTAGGAGAGTGATTGATTTCATTCTTCATTGACTTTTTCTTCTTCTTTGTCTCATGTAAATTGTTTGGCATTTTGTTTTGTAGAAATAAATTTTAAGTTTGTTTATTAGATAGGCAAGGGTTTTTAAAAAAATAAATGAAAAAGTGCATTTTGTTCTCTGTGGAACAAAGATGATCATATTTATTGTGAAGACCAATTAATTTTAATTCACTTGGTTGTGACTTTTTATTTTTATTTATTTATTTTTATTTTTTAAATATATTTTATTGATTTTTTACAGAGAGGAGGGGAGAGGGATAGAGAATTAGAAACATTGATGAGAGAGAAACATTGATCAGCTGCCTCCTGCACACTCCCTACTAGGGATGTGCCCGCAACCAAGGTACTTGACCAGAATCGAACCTGAGACCCTTCAGTCCGCAGGCCAATGCTCTATCCACTGAGACAAACCTGTTAGGGCGGTTGTGACTTTTTAAACGAGATTTGATGTCTTTATATAAGATTTTTGATAAACTTACTTGTGCTTTCTCAATCCCTTTAGAATTGGTCTGCAAGGTGATGTGACTGATCCAAGGACGAATAGCTTCTTATATATTCTAGATATTCTCCCAAGGTAAAAACCTTAGATTCCTGTACAAGCTTACCTTAAATTTAAAACCGTGGATCTGGCAGAATGTGATGGACATTTTATAGAGATTAGCAGTTTATATATGCTGCCTGCAGATACTGTGCATGTGATTTATCTTCTTCTGCCATGAATGATAAGATAACTGCAAATGTTTGCTGATTCCACAGTTGCCACTACAGTGAGTGACAGGGAATTACAGCCTAATAGCTAAATTCTGTTGCCTCTGCTCAAAGTATTAATGCAGATGAAGCATACGTTAGCGAATGCTGTTGTCCATGGCCTGGAAGCCTGTGCTAGCCCTTTGTAAATGGCAGCCTTTGAGTTGCATCAGAGGCTCTGTGTGAACCCATGTTTCGAGAAAAACTCAATGGAAATTAACATTTCAAATGTTAACTTTATCAGGTATGCCATGATTATGGGGAAAATGAATAAAATATGAGTTATCTTCATCCCTTATAAAATTCTTTTATAAAAAATGAGAGTTTAGAAAATTTCTTACCTCATATTTCCCACAAATAAGGAATTTCTTCATTTTGTTGTTCTTAACAATGAGATTTTTGGAATTCTATTGGTTTTGTTTTTGTATTGTTTTTAGGTTACAAACATTACCGAAGTATATTCTTTTAGAAAATGTTAAAGGTTTTGAAGTATCTTCTGCAAGGTAAAGCATGTATTTGTCCTGTGTTCACCTTAGCTGTTGTGAAATAAAGATCTTAAAAATAAACATGTACATTCTGACATTTTATGTTATATATTTTATTCATTAATATTGATTTTGAAAAGCATCACAAAGTTAAGTTAAATAGATTCTCTCCCATTCTGATGTTTGAAATTTTCTAGAATGAGCAATTATTTCAATAAGAATGATATTTCTCAATTTTAGCTGCTTATATTGATGCTTAGTTCTTTAGAAGTAGAAATGTTTTCAGTAAGAATTGGCCCTTAAGATCCATCTATGTTGTCATAAATGGCAGTATTTTATCTTTTCTTATGGTTGAATAGTGTTACATTGTATATGTGTACCATATCTTCTTTATCCAATCATCTGTTGAAGAATCTTTAGAATATCATGTTAAGTAAAGTAACTCAGACATAAAAAGTTAAGAGCCATATGATTTCACTCATATGTGGGATATAAAACTGAAAGCAACAATGAACAAATAAGAAAAACAAGCAAATAAGAACTCATAGACATGGACAGCAGCATGGTTGGTGGTTACCAGAGGGAAGGGAGGTGTGGGGGAGTACTAAAGGTTAAAGGGGCCAAATATATGGTGACAGAAGGAGACTTGACTTTAGGTGATGGGCACACAATGCAATATACGGATCATGTATCATAGAATTGTATACTTGAAACCTATATAATTTTATTAACTCATGTCACCGCAGTAAATTTAATTTTAAAAAAAAAGAATTGGTCCGGTGGATAGGCTTTTTCAGTCATACAGTAAGACAGAAAAAGCCATGTGCTGGGGCCCTTTCAGATGGTAGCCCAGCTGGAGAGAAAGCATGCACACTTTTTATTTAGCTGCTGTCTTTAGCAGTGTTCTCCCATCTGACTTACTACAGATAGTTCCATTTCCCGTAGCAAATTTAGCATCAGTAGATTGGAAATTCTATCTCTCACCAGTTTGGATAAATTATCTGAGAGCTGTATTTATTTAAAATAGAAATTATCATTGTCTTTTTCTGAGAAATGTAATTTCTCAAGTAGTGCACTTAATGAAGACCTTGGATCATTCTCCTTCTAACAACTTGAGTGGAGGAACAGTTTTCAGTTAAAATGAAATTTTATGTATAATATTTATATAAGAACCTGATTCCCAACTTTAAGGTGAAAGCATTTCTTTTTTATTTTCCTTTATTTTTGTCTTTTCAGAGACCTGTTAATAAAAACAATAGAAAATTGCGGCTTTCAGTACCAAGAATTTCTATTATCGCCAACCTCTGTAGGTACCGCAATTATAAACTCATACATTTTCTCAAAGGGAATTTGAATCAGTAAGAAGAGTGGTCGGCAAACTGCGGCTCGGAGGCCACATGCGGTTCGTTGGCCCCTTGAGGGTGGCTCTTCCACAAAATACCACATGCGGGTGCACACGTACAGTGTGATTGAAACTTCGTGGCCCATGCGCAGAAGTCGGTATTTTGTGGAAGAGCCACACTCTAGGGGCCAAAGAGTCGCATGTGGCTCGCGAGCCGCAGTTTGCTGACCACTGAATAGATCTATTTGGATAGTATTATAGGTAAATCTTAAAATTACTTCAGACATGGGTTTTATTTTCTAAAGAATATAGTGCAGGCTTATAGGTTCACTTATACTTATTTTATGAAAAATATATAACTTGAGACTCATAGAGAATATATTTTTCTTTCTATACAGAAAAAATAAGTGTGTTTTGAAATTATGTGCCATATGGTATTTCCAAAATGGGTGTGCTATAGTTTAGTAATGCTTCAGAATAATCCAAAATAGAAAAAAAAATGAACATATCATATTTTAATTCCTTTTATTGGGACATTTCATTAATATGCAAACATTGCTTCTATTTCATGGGTAAGAAACTTATTATAAGAATTTGGTACATCTTTGATATTACAATTATCATTGTCTATTTTTATTTTGTCTTTCTGTTTGTTAGCCTGTTATCATCTTTTTTCTGTTTTACAGTTCTTTGCCCTGAAATGAAAAGAAAACCCATTTCAAAAATTAGATGTCCATGTTTTTGTTTTCATTTTTTTTGTTGTTCTTATTGAACTTAAGTGTATCCTAAGATTACAAAGCAAGTACATTAAAAAATTCTTATCATTCACAATTACTTCTCTTTGGACCAGGGTTTATAGTCAACTACGTTATAGTCAACCCAAATAGCAAGGGGGAAAGAATAGATGCTGTAGGTAGTAAGGGGATTGTAACCTCTATCCATCTTAATCCTTTCAGTCTGTTCATTTATTCAATAAATCTTTATTGAATGGACACTTACTTTGCACATGGAACTGTTCTTCATGGACTATATAAGCTAATATTACACTTTAAACCTAAAAAGAAATTAACACCAATAAAAAAAATTAGATGTCCCACTGTGAAAATTGGCAATGTATCTGATCTCTAATTTTAATATTTATTGCCTTTTAACTTTAAAATGTAGTGAATCCTTCTTTTTTTTAATAAAATGAGGTAATAAATACCCAAGAATAACTACATTTTAAAGTTACTATATTATCAATAATGAATGTAAAAATGTCTATATAACTTCTTACCTGGAAAATATAAAATTAAACTGACTCATAGACATATGATTTATCAATCTCTATTTAATTCAAAATAAAGGTACAAAGCAACAGTTTAAAGGGTTTAAGGGTTTGTGCAAAGTAGTCTTCCACAACTCAGTAACAGAATTTTTTATGGCACAGGCTAAATGTATACCTGTATGAGGCTCTTTACTAGGTGCTAACAGTTGATAGAGATCTCTTTTATTTCCAGCTTGGCATTCCAAATTCAAGACTACGGTATTTCCTTATTGCAAAGCTTCAGTCAGAGCCATTACCTTTTCAAGCCCCTGGTCAGGTATTGTTATGGTTGTTGTTATCATCATCATTATTATATATAGAGAGAGGCCTGCTACACAAAAATTTGTGCACTGGTGGGGGGCGGGGTATGTCCCTCAGCCCCACTTGTGCCTTCTCACAGTCTGGGACTCCTCGGGAGATAACGACCTGCTGGCTTAGGTCCACTCCACAGTGGCAGAGGGCAGGCCCAATCCCTAGGTGCAGCCCCTCGTCGGGCTCAGAGCAGGGCTGGTTGGGGAGTTGGGGTGCCACCCCCAGTCACGCTCAGGGTAGGGCCAATTCGGGGGTTGGGCCACCGCCCCTGTCACACTCAAGGCAGGGTTGATGGGGAGGTTGCAGTGCCACCCCCTGTCATTCACAG